TCTCTTCACTAATCCTCCACCCTTCCAAGTATGATATCCCTCTCTGAGGAATAGCCTCTTTAGCATCATGCTCAAAGTATGTGATACAAAACTTTGTAGTCTTTGCCTTTAAGGAGCATTCTGGCTGTATTTACTTCAAGACATATCTGTTCTTTTGGCAGTCCATGGGATAGTCAGCACTCAGCTGAAGAATTCAGAACTCAGCTAGAGGATATTCAACTAACATTAGTTATGGCAATACAGAAAAGAAGAATGAAGAATGTGTGTAGGAGGTGACTGTTAATTTCTGAAGGAAATATAGTCAGTAAAATGGCCAAGAACCATAGGGGGAAAGGCTGTTTAGATAGACCAGCACCGAAGAACCCACTGACCAAGTCCTACTTCTTGGCCCTCAAAGTGTAATATATAATAACATTTTAGTTACCAAGTTTTGAGTTAGTTTATTCTCCAAAAACTGCTAACTACTCAAAGTATGGTCTTATTGACGTGAAGCATCAGCCTCACCTGGGAGCTAGTTAGAAATGCAGTTGAAACCAGCACCATTGGCATCATCTGAGAACATATTAGAAATGCAAATTCCTGGCCTCAACCTAAACCTACTCAATCTGAATCTACATTTTAACAGGATAACTACATTATTTATAGGTATGTTTAACTTTCTTATATTTAACTTTGAGAGGATTTTAAGTCTACTTTCAATAAGCTATGTTCAAAATAGACAAAAGAGTATACATTTTATAAAGTTTTATGCATGAGCAAAAAGATCATCACTCAAACAAGTGCTAGTAGTTCATTTAATGAACACCATCTACATTCGTTATATTGTTAACAATGTAAAGATAAATATATAAATCTAAACCTGCTTTCAAATCTCAAAGTTAATTATTCAATTCAAGAGATTAACAAGCACATCATTTTAACATAGTATAGAAATGCACATATATTTTTTTTAATTTGTCTTAAAGATTTACATTTGCACTTGTGTGTGTCAGTGCTGTTGAGCTGCAATGAGCTCATAGCTGACCCTCCACTGGGCTTGGGTGACTGATAACTGCGTAGGTGAAGACTGTCCATCATTCTCCCACAGAGCCTCACTTCTCAACTATTCTGTTATTCACCATTTCACATTATCACAGTAAAAAAGAAAATGATATTATGGCTTAAGTTTGAAGACGTTAGAGTTTCTGTGATTCCAAACCCCTCATGCTGCTGCCAGTCTCTTATCATGCAGCTAGTACCTCTTGATTTTAAGAGTCTTTGTACAACTATCAGGTACAAGTATCAGGGAAGGTTTCCTATCTCAGACAGTTCTGAGAAAAAAGTCTTTTGTCTTGAACTTCTACTCCAGGACTGACTTCCTGTGGCTTAGTGCCTCTTCTCTGCCATTTGCAACCAAGTACTTATGCAAGAGGATAGTTTCCCCGGAGAGACCGATGTGTCCTCTAGGACTGGTGTACAGTCAGTGATTTATTCATTGCAAAAACCTTTTTATAAGAAACAGAAACCCAGGCTATTCACATGGATTTCACCTGATGGTACGCATAGGAATCAAGCTGATTACATTTGTGGAAAGAATTGGTGAAGAAGCTCAATATCAGCTGTGAAAACCAGGCCAGGTGCTGATTGTGTGACAGACCACCAACTACTCATATGTAAGTTCAAGCTGAAGTTGAAGAAAATTAAGTCAAATTCACAGGAACCAAAATTTGACTTTAGTCTATCCTGCTTGAATTCCAAAACCATCTCAGGAATAGTTTGAAACCTTGAACACCAATAAGCTAAGATCAAATGAGCTGTGAGAGTATGTAAAGAATATCGTCCATGAAGAATGCAAAAGATCATTACAAAGACAGAAGTGGAAGAAAAGACCAAAATGATGTCAGATGAGACTTTGAATATTTCATTAGAGCACTGAGAAGCCAAAGATAAAAGAAAAAATTAAAAATCTGGACAGAAAATATCAAAGGGCAGCTCAGGATGGCAAAGCAAGATATTATAATAAAATGTACAAAGAGCTGGAGTCAGAAAATCAAAAGGGCCAAATTTGTTCAGCATTTCTTAAGCTGAAGGAATTGAAAAACAAATTCAAGCCATGAGTGGCAATACTTAAGAATGCTTTGGGCAAAATGTTAAATTATCCAAGAAACATTAATAGAAGATGGAAGGAGTATACAGAGTATACTGAACTGGCCGACAAAGAAGAATTTCATGAAACAACATACGAGCAAGAGCCTGTGGTGATGAAGGAAGACTTTCAAGCTTCTCTGAAAGAACTGGCAAAAGACAAGGTACCAGGAATTGACAGCATACCAACTGACACTTTTCAACTAACAGATGCTGCCCTGGATCTGCTCACCAAGTTGTTCCAAGAAATCTGGAGGACAACCACTTGGCCAATTGACTGGAAGAGATTGATATTTGTTCCCATTCCAAAGAAAGGTGGCCTGACAGAGTGTGGAAATTATCAAACAATATGATTAATATCAGATGCAAGAAAGATTCACTGAAAATTATCCCAAAATGATTGGAGCAACACGTAAACAGAGAACTGCCAGATGTGCAGACTGGGTTTAGAAGAGGCCATGGTACTAAGGATATTATAGCTAATGTTAGATAAACTTGGTAGAAAGCAGAGAGTATCAGAGAAATGTCTATCTGTGTTTCACTGACTATGCAAAGGCTTTTGACTGTGTGGATCACAACAAACTGGCTGACTGAGAAGAATGGGAATCTCAGAAAGTTTGATTGTGCTTATGTGAAACCTATACTTGAACCACGAAGCAGTCGTCAGAACAGAGCAAGGAGACACTTCATGGTTCAAAATCAACAAGGGTGTCTGCCAGGGATGTATTGTGTCTCCATATCTTTTCAGTTTGTATGCAGAATAGATCATATTGGAGGTTGGGCTGTGTGAGGAGGAATTTGGCATCAGGATTGGAGCAAGATTCATCAACAATCTGTGCTACGTAGATGACACAACACTGTTTGCTGAAACTGAGGAGGGCCTGAAGCATTTGCTGCACAAAGCCAAGGACTGCAGCCTTCAATATGGATTGAAGCTCAACTTCAAGAAAACAAAGATTCTCATCCCTGGGCCAATTGGCAGTATCAGTATGGATGGTGAAGAGATTGAGATTGTTAACAGTTTTAGTTTGCTTGACTCCACAATCAATACTCTTGATAACAGCAGCCAGGAAATCAAGAGATGAATTGCATTGGGAAAGTCAACTGTCAAGGACGTCTCTACAGTACTGACGAGCAATGATGTCAGGCTGGAGATTAAGGTGCACCTGATCCAGGTCATAGTCTTTACAACTGTGTGCTATGAGTCAGAGAGCTGGACAATGACTAGGGATGATATCAAGATAATTGATGTCTTTGAGCTGTGGTCCTGGAAAAGAGTGTTGAATATACCATGGACTGCCAGGAGAGTAAAAAACTTTGTTCCGGAGAGGGTGAAACCAGACTGCACCTTGGAGATAAGGATTCTGAAGCTTTGTCTGACATACTTTGGGCATGTTACAAGGCAGGACTGGTCCTTGGAAAGGGACATTATGTTTGGGAGGGTGGAGGAACAGCACAAGAAAGGAAGACCTTGATAAGATGGATTGATTCAATGATTGGAGAATGGGAGTAGGTGTGTCAGAAACAGTGAAGTTGGCATAGGACAGTGTAGGGTCGGTTGCTATGAGTCACAAGCAACTTGACGGGACATAACAACAACAATAACAAAATCTACCATCAGAATATTTTGACCATTAACAATGTACATCTGGTTGTAATATACATGGAGGTGCGAGTAGTACTAGCTCTAGTGGTTACAGTTATGTGGCAACTGGCCTGGGCCATCATTCTAGTGGCTAGCATTATGCAATGATATAATTTGGCAGTTATGTAATAAGATATAATGTGTTCACCTTCCATTTTAACATAATACCTATTTCCCCATACTTTATAATAAAATACTCTTCCAGTGAAATTAACTTCCTCTGAGAACCTGCCAAGGAGGGTCAGCAATGGATCAATTCTTACTCAATGGTACACAACAACAACGACAATAAAATACTAAGGTCAAGAACCTTCAGTGATAGCAACTCACTACCTTCTGAGCTGGCTGGCACATTACATTTCTGAGCAGCTCCAATTTTAGAATTCTCTAAAGTGAACTAAAACCCCAAATATATTCCCTTTATTGGTCTTTGGCCTATCATCCCAGAGACAAGAAAACAAGCAATGTTTGTCTTATGGTCACAATATTCTCAGTAAACAAATAGGTTATGAATGAGGGAAAGTTTGAAAATAGAGTGGAAAGTTTGCTGGACAATAGAGAAGAAATAAATTTTAAGCAAACTACAGCTATGTAACTATGACTGTCAATAGAAAATTAGCACTGTTGATAACTATCTTTAGCAATATTATGCTGACTCTGAACAAACCCAATAGTATAAAGACAAAGAGCTTGAGAGAGCTCCAAGCCACTTAGCAGTGATCGAGAATATAGTTTTAAATGCAATGCAATAAATAGGCCTTCATTTCCATGTGCAGGATCAAAGCACATTAGGCAATTAGGAAAACATTAGAGAAATATTAATCTTTTGAAATAAGTTTCCTACAAAAGTTTTACTTTAATGTTAAATGTACATACTCTTGAAAATGATTCATGTGTACTGTTTCTGTTTTGGTCAATTCCTTAGACTCACAGCAACCTCATACACAATATGATCAGATAATTGCAGTCCACAGAGTATTCATTATTTAATTTCAGAAATTGATTGTCAGGCTTTTTTTCCTAATTTTTCTTGTCTGCAGGACCCCTGAAACATGTTCATCATCAGATCAACAAACAAATACCCACTGACAGAGCGGTGATGGAGTACACTGACTCAGATACCCAGCATCACAGGTGAAAATTCCACCACTGAAACATCATTGTCCATTCACGTTTATGCACACAAGTCCTACCTCCCCATTCTAAAGAAGAGAGGAAGAATAAATCTTACCTTTACACACTTTGCAACAGCTATGTGACAAGGTAATCTGATGAGACTCAGGACAATCCAAAGCTGGACAGCTTGAACTCTCCACAAGCTTCATTGTTTGGTCCTGTTGGTTAACAGAAAAGAAATGTAAACTTGTTTATTCCTTAAACTTCTTTATTCCCACTGCCATCAAATCATTTCCAAATCACAGCAATCGTCCATCAGGTTTCCCAGGCTGTAAATCTTTATGGTAGAAGACTGTCCATTTTCCTCCCACAAAATGGCTGGAAGCTTTGAACTGCCAACTTTTCAATTAGCTGCTCACTATGCCACTAGGGATCTGTAAGCTTTTTTGTTTGAGCTCCGGTGGCCTGGTGGTAAACCCACCCAAAGACACACGGTTTTTTGTTTTGTTATTTTTTGTCTTTTTTCTTAATTAGTATTATTAATTTTCATGAAAATTTACAGAGGCTTTGGATTTCTATTCATTCATTGTTTCACTTTTCTCCCTGTCTCCACCCCCACCCCAGAATACTCTTCTCTTTGAAAAGTAAAAGAAAAATTCTTTCATTGTTTTACAATCCCTCCCTCCAGGTCCACTCCACTACACAGCCTTTGTTCTGGACTCCTGTCATGACAAAATTATCTAATCACATCTATCAGCTCCTTTCTGGGAGGAAGATGGGCAGTCTGCCCCTAAGTGATTTATTGCCTCTGAAAACCCACTGGAGGGTTAGCTGTAAGTGGGTTCTGACTTGATGGGGCATAACAATAACAACAACCATAAGTGTCCAAGTCAAATATCTGAGGAGACTCTTACAACATGAGAAAAAAAAATTAATTTCACCTATTTTGCCTCAGTCAAAGGCTCACTTTTGAAATTTAATCATGCCTGGAAAGTCTTTCAAACTAGATAAGCAACATTGGGAATCACAGTACAGCTATGTCAATAATTTTCCTAACTTCCAGATAATCCTGGAAAGTTTTGTTAGTTTTACCTACATTTATTAATCCAGGTGACAGCTGTGACAAAAACATGGCTTTAATTAGATCTACAGTCGATTTTGGGGAAAGATAATAAAGATAATAAAACCCAACTCTTTAACCATCCTTATTTTAAACATATCTAAAGTAATAGATTGGCATTGGTGGTTCTATTAAGGTGCACTGGGCAAAATAAGAGCAAGACCTATGTCTCTTTTGTGAATGAAGTCCTGGCACATTTCCTGATGTACAGCTAATGCTCAACACCAGTACTGAATGAATGAGTATATCAATGTAAAATTACTATTAGTTTTGTAACCAACAGTAGATAAAATCCTCCTGAAATAAGGGGGAAAAGTAAAATCAAACTGTTTAACCATACCTATTTTAAACTTATCTAAATTAATAGATTGCCACTGGTGATTCTATTAAGGTGCACTGGGCAAAATAAGAGCAAGATCTATGTCTCTCCTGTGAATGAAGTTCTGGCACTTTTCCTGATATAACAAATTAGAACAAGGGTTCTTATTTGGACTATATTATGCTTATTAGCTTTACGTCTAGTAATTTAGTGATCAGGAGTTTCACTGTGTATGGTTGGAATCCACCAGGTACCCCAAAGTTGAAAGATGAACAATCTCCTCTCTCATGATGTACTGCCTTTGAAAACTCACTGGATGTGCAGCGATGAGTTGATTCTGAATTGACAATATATTACAACAGCAACGAAAGCTCAAAAATAAATGAAGTTCTTGGAATTTGCAAACTTCCATTTTGACTACTGCCTAATAGATTAGAGATTTTTTTTTATCATTCACATAGTGTGCAGGTTATTCAGGAAATCAGGAGACATACTGCAATAGGAAAGCTTGTAGTTTAGGACCCTCTCCAAATTATTGAGGAGTAACGATGTCATTTTAAGGCTAACATGTGTCTAATACAGGCCATAATCTTTCTGATCACTAGCTAAGCATCTGAGAGTTGGACAATGAATGAGGATGACAGAAGAACTGATGTCTTTAAGGTGTGGTGTTGGTGAAAAGTACCGGATATCCCCATGGATGACCAAAAGAATAAACAAAAATTTCTTGGAGGACATTAGAGGCAAAGATGCTAAAGCTTCACCTCACATACTTCAGGGAATTTTGCTAGGAAGGGCTATTCCTTGGAGAAGAACATAGTGCTTGGAAAGATGGAGAGCCAGCAGAGGAGAAGTCTCTCAACCAGGTGGATTGGCACGGTGGCTGCCACAATGGCTTCTAGTGTGTCAGGACGTAAAAGGAGAGTGCAGGATAGGACAGGGTTCAGATCTCTCGATGGCACCAAAGAACAATAACCAAAAGACAGCCAGTTCAAATCCACTAGTATCTCTCAGAAAGAAAGAAAATCTCCTCCCAGGTAAAGCACCAAAAATCTTCTGAAGGATCAACTTTGAGTTAATTCTTGCTCAACAGCTATCAGCTGAGTTTGAGTGCTATTACAAACTGCTTTAAGCACCTGCTTTCTTCCTAGGTTCATTTACATAAAAACCCTTCTCCAGGCCATAATGTCTAAAGAAGAATGCGGGAGGTAACAACTATCTAGTGGCAGAAGTTTAGCAAGTGTAATGAGTGCTCAGGGGCAACTCTACTCTCTTCCATAGGATGGGGTGGGGGAAGATGGCAGTGTAACTCTTCCTGCCTGCCTCACCTGGTGCTGCCTCACCTGGACCTGCAACGATGGGCAAGTACAGCCTCCTCCACTTCCATTCTTCCTCACTAAATCCCCTGAACTCAAAACCATCAAACTCATTATGATCTAGTAGGAGCTGACTCAAAGATGATGTTCCAGCTGACTGAGGGACTGTAAATCATACAGGAGGTGACCGCTCGTCTTCATCCCGCAAAGCCACTGATAGACCTAAGCCTCAACCTCCAGAGAGACGTCACCTTTGGGTCAGCAGTACAACTTCATAGGACAGTGCAACCAGAGTTAAAGGTGTAGTTAAATACTTTAGGTTAACAATATTCTTCTGTGTTACTAAGGTCCAGATTCCCAGGGCACATTTCAAAGCCAATAAAAAGGTGGGGTAGAGAGAAGGAATAAGAATTGACTTTGCAGACAAGGGAAGAATGACAGCTGTCAATCATGTAAAAGAGCCTCCATCCTGAGAGCAGATGAAACAAGGGAAGTATTTAATGGCAAAATCAGTTTACAACTACATTAAAATGTTTCCCAATAATGGCTCTTGAGCACATGTAAGCATACAATGCACACATGACTCTGAAGATTTATTACAATAAAAATGTACAAACTATGTCATAATTTTAATTCAATTCATGTTGAAATAATAACATTGTATACATAGAAGCTTAAATATAGAAAGTTTAGGTCAATAAAATTTATATGGGTGGTTTGTGCCATATCTTATCAGACAGGGTTAATTAACTCACTGTCATCAAGTTATAACTAACTCACGGCTGACTTTCCAGCAGGTTCTCAGAGGCTGCAAACTGCATAGCCCATTTTTCTCTCTTGGAGCATCTAGTGGATTTGAATCATTTGCCTTTAGTCTTCTGAAGAAAAAATTAATGAATGAAGATAAGGGTTTGAAGGGAAAAAAATTATACACTGTATATTAAAAATACTATTAAAATGACAGAACAACAACAACAACAAGCTGTGCTTGACAACATGCTCAAAATATATGAAGGAAATGTCCACTATCCATGCATCTAGAGAGCATCTTGGCTGTACTTCCTTAAGGACACATTTGTTTGTTCTACAGACTGCATGGGACATTCAGTGCTCTTCTCCAACACGACAATGCACATCATTGATTCTTTTTTAAGTCTTCCTTATTCATAGTCCAACTTTCAGAAGCATAGGACAAGTGAAAATACCATGGCTTATATGAAGTGTACACTATCTTTAAACTGACTTCCTTGTCCAACGAAACTTCAGGGAGGTCTGTAAAAACTGATTTGCCCAAATGCAAAACTTGCTTTAACTTCTTTACTGTTGCTACCACCCATGTTGATTGTGGAGCTAAACAAAATTAAATCCTTTAGGACTTCTCATTTTTTCTCCTACCATCGTGATTTTGCCTATTGGACCAGTGGTGAGGATTTCTGCCTTCTTGACACTGAGGTTTAACACATACTGGCAGCTGCTGCCTTTGATCTTCTGCAAAAATTGATTCAAGTCCTCCTCACTTTCTGCAAACAAGGTTCTGTCATATGCAAAATGGCAGTTGTTGATAATTCCTCTTCACATAGTCCAGGTTTTGATTGATTTGCTCAGCAGACTGAACAGATACACCTTTCCTGATTTTAAACCCTGCAATATATTCCATTATTTTGTGTCAGAATGACTGCTTCTTGGTTTCTGTATAAGCTTCATACAAAAACAATTTAGTGTTTTGAAATTTCTATTATTCTCAGTGTTTTAGTAATTTACTATGATCCAAAACTGATTTTGCATAGTAAATAAGATATAGCTAAGTATCTTTTATTTCTTACTTTCAGCCAGAGTCCAACTTAGATCAACAATAATACCCCTAAGGATCCAATTTGAATTTCTGGCAATTCCTTGTTAATGTACTATGTCAGTTATTTTTTTAACAAATTACTGTAAGATTTAACAAATCTTTTTTTAACAAATTACTGTAAATTACTGTAAGATGCTATTGATGATATAATTTGACAATTTTACACTACGTTGTTGTTGTTGTTCTTCTTCTTCTTATGTGCCGTCGAGTCGTTTGCGACTCATAGCGACCCTGTGTACAACAGCCTTAAACCCTGCTCTATCCTGTGCCAATCACATTGCCTCTGACACACCCATTCCTATTACCCCAGTCACTGAATCAACCCACCTCATAGAGGGTCTTCCCCTCCTGCGCTGTCCCTCTACTCTACCCAGCATGATGTCCCTCTCTAAAGACCTGTCTCTCCTTACAACATGTCAGACGAAGCCCCAGAATCCTTGCCTTCAAGGAGTAGCCTGGTTTAACCCTCTCTAGGATGAATCTGTTTGTTTTCTTGGCAGTCCATGGTACTCTTCTCCAGCACCCCAGCTCAAAGGCGTCAATTCTCCTTCTGTCCTCCCTAGTCACTGTACAACTCTCTGATGCATAACAAGTGATTGCAAAGACTATGGCCTGTATCAGGTGCACCTTAGTTTCCAGAGAGACACTGTTGCTCTTGAGTACTTTAGAGAGGTCCCTAACAGTAGACTTTCCCATCGCAATATGTTTTTTGATTTCCTGGCTGCTGGTGCCAAGAGTGTTGACGTGGAACCAAGCAAACTGAAGCTGTGAACATTCTCAATCTCTTCACCATCCATCCTGATGCTGCCGATTGGTCCAGTTTTGAGAATCTTTGTCTTCTTGACATTGAGCCTCAGTCCATATTTTTTTATGGAAATAAATATAAAACTCTTTTACGTGACTGGCTAAATAGTTGTTGTCTTTCAAATTTAGACGGGTGAGCACATCTAAGGCATCTATTAGCTGAAACATTTCAGCTGATATTCCATCAATTCAGGGAACTCCGTTAGCCTAGTTGGTAGGATATTATATATTTAATCACATATTTATTTCTATTTTATCTCTCTATCTCTATCTCTATACCAAAACTGAACTCACTTTCATGAAGTTGATTTCAACTCTTAGCCAATCTGTACTGGGTATGAGTGTGTAAACCTTAACTACAGGAAACTTGGTATATATATGCCATCAGAGATCCATATAAATGGAGTCACTATACCAAAAATAATTGGCTGATATAGAACCATTTCCAGAAGTAGCATATGATCAAGAACCAATGATAATAAAAGAAGTTGAAGCTGCTCTGTAGGAATTGGCAAGAAATAATGCTCTAGTAATTGATGGAATACCAACTGACGTATTTCAACAAACCAGTGCCGGCCTGGATATGCTCACCAGGTTGTGGAAAGAAATCTGTTGGACAGTTACCTTCCTAACAGACTAGAAGAGATCCATGTTCTTTCCCTTTCCCAAAAAAACATGATCCAAAAGAATGTAAAAATATCAAATGATATCAGTAATATCACATGCAAGTAAAATCTTGTTGAAGATTATCCAAAAACAACTGAAACAGTATATTGAGAGACAACCTTCAGAAATACAAACTGGGCTTATTAGAGTCAGTGGCAGGGGGAATATCATTTGCAATGTTAGAAGGACCTTAGCTGAAAGCAGAGATTACCAGAAGGAGTCTATTTGTGTTTTATCGACTATGCAAAGGCACTTAACTTTGTGGATCACAACAGATTATGGCTAACATTGGAAAGAATAGGAACCCCAGAACAGTTGACTGTGCTCATGCAAAAATTATTTCTAGATTAAAAAGAAATCATTAGAGTTGAGCAAGGAAACACTGCATGGCTAAAAATCAAGAAGGAAGTGTGACAAGGATGTATCCTTTCTCCATACGTTTTCATTCTCCATGGAAGAGATCAGTCAAAATGCTGGATTTTATGAGGAAGAATGTAATATCAGGATTGGAGGAAGACTCATCAACAAAAATTTTGAAACTCTGACATTCTTTGGGCATGTTGCCAGAAACAGCCAGTGCTTCTCTGGGAGAAGGACATCATGCATGGGAAGATAGAGGGTATGCACAGGAGAAGAGCATCCTGGATGAGATGAATTGACACAGTGACTATGGAAATGGGGTCACGTGTGTCAGAGATGGTGAGGGTGGCTCAGTACAGGACAAGGTTTAGAGCTTGCTCTGAGTTGCTCTGAGTCATAGTCAACTCAATGGCACATGACAACCAAAACAAATAGTGGCCTAGCGGCAAGAAATTATGCTGCAGTCCTGAAGGCATGTAGTTCAAGTACACCAGCTGCTCCACAGGAGAAGGATGGGTAATCTCCTCCCAGCTGGTTAATTGCCGGCGAAAACCAACCACAGGGTGAGTTATGGGTCAGTTCCAACTCAATGGTACAAAACAACACTTTATTGTGCTTATGTGAAACCTCTACTTGGACCAGAAGGCAACCTTCACAACAGAGTAAGGAAACACTGCATGGTTCAAAATCAGGAAAAGTGTATGCCAGGAATGCATCCTATCTTCATATCTTTTCAACCTATGTGTAAAATAGAGCATTTAGGGAGACTTTATGAGGAGGTATGTGGCACTAAGATTGGAGGAAGACTCATCAATAACCTGAATTATGCTGCTAACACAAACATGAAGCTAAAACTGAGGAGGACCGAAGGCATGTGTGCAGAACGTTAAGGACTGTAGTCTTCAATATTTATTGAAGCTATATATTAAGAAAAAAGTCTGTTAATGCTTGACCAGTGGGAAGCATCATGATAGGTGGAGAAGAGATTGTGACTATTAACAGCTTTAGCTTGCTTGGCTCCACAATCCACACTCTTGGGACCAGCAGTCAAGAAATCAAAAAAAGAATTGCATTGGAAAAATATGTTGTCGGAGACCTTTTGAGAATACTGAAAATCAACAATGTCAGTCTAGAGACTAGAAATGTTTGATCCAAGCCATGATTTTGCAATTACTTGCAATAAAACTATTTGTTTTTAAAAAAGATAAGTTGGATTAGGAAAATCTACTATCAAGGACCTCTAGAGCGCTTAGGAGCAACTATGTTAGTCTATAGACTAAGGTGTTCCTGATCCATGTCAGAGTCTTTGCAATACCTTGCTATGCATCTGAGAGTTGAACAGTGACTAGGTTTGAAAGAATAGTTGTTGCCTTTGAGTTGTTGTATTGGATAAGAGAATTGAATGTTCTATGGGCTGCCAAGAGAATAAACAGGTCTGTCGTAGAGAAGGTAAAATCAAGTTGTTTCTTGGAGGCAAGGAACTTGAAGCTCCAACTAATATACTTTGTAGATATATATCTATACACACACACACAAACATTTTACATATATATTATTTGGGGGGAGAAAGAGACAGGGAGGGAGGGAGAGAGAAGGAGGGGGAGGAAGGGAGAAGGAGAGAGAGAGAAATGGGGAGCTCTGGTGGTCTAGTGGTAAGAAGCTGAGCTGCAATCCTTAAGGCATGCAGTTCAAATTCACCAGTTGCTCTATGGTAGAAAGATGGGCAGTCTCCTCTTGTGCTATTAATTGTCTCTAAAAACCCCCTGGAAGGTCAGCTATGGATCAGTTCCAACTCAATGGTAAACAATAACTATAAATTGATGGTACACAACAACAACAACAACAAAATATAGTTAGATAAATGAGATGCCTCTGGAAACCATGAAATTTGAGAAACGACAGTTATTGAAGGGCTTCAAAATATATGAAGTCCTGCTATGAGCTCTGCTCAACTCTACAACAATCAACAACAATAACACATATATCTAGATATCAAGATATAGTGTGTGTGTGTGTGTGTGTGTGTGTGTGTGTGTGTACTGAACTGCACTGGAAAATTTGCTGTCACGGATCTTTTTAGAGTATGAAAAAGCAATGATGTCAGTCTAGAGACTAAGTTGTGCCTGATCCAGTCTATGTTCTTCTCAATTATTTGCTATGCATAAAAGAGCTGGACAATGACTAAAGATGACAGAAAAAGAATCAATGCCTTTTGAGTTGTGATGTTGGAGAAGAGTCTCGAACATGTACGAAGAAACACCAAGAAAACAAATAGGTCTGTCTTGAAGAGGGTAAAAGCAAGTTTCCTCTTGGAGGTTAGGATTTTGAAGCTCAATTTCACATACTTTGGGCACGTGGCCAGGAAGGGACCAGTCCTTGGAGAAGGACATCATGCTTGGAAAGGTGGAGGGACAGCACAGGAGAGGAAGATCCCAGATGAGATGGATTGATACAGTAACTGGGGCAATGTAAGTAGGTGTATCAGAATCAGTGAGACTGGCTCAGGAAAGGTCATGGCAGGCAGCCTTCAGAGCTGCTGTACATAGGGTTGCTACGAGTTGAAGGTGACTTAATGGCACACAACAATATATATTTTTTTTTCTGTTTTATAGGCACAAATAATTCTGTGTTATGGAAGTATAAATTATTCTATATTTATCAAAATATATATTAATAATTCTGTTTCCTAAGAAGCCTAAGACAGATGCTATATAGTTTATGGACAGTGCCTGTAGCAAATATTAACTATCTTACTTTTCCACATAATTTATACACATAAGGCAGCTTCAAAGTACTTCTGAAAGAGAAATTTAAAAATATTTAGGGTCAAGTATGAATAGAAAATTAAGGCTGAAACTTATACACACATATACATATATATATTTGCCATTTAACCTAGAATACATAAATATGACATTTATAATCTTTAAGTTAAATATTAGAAGTGCTGTGGATATCATTTAGTTTTTCAGTCAGCAGATCAAGGAGCAACATTCAAAGGAATTACATTTGCTTTAGAAACATATATAAACATACCATGCCAAATAATTCTGAATTCTCCTTCAAATTAAATATCTCTGACATTCAATAGTTATTTTTTATGTGATTTTTATATTTTCATGAAATTGAGTAATATTTCCACATGTTAGTCAAAACAATCAGTGAAAAGAAGTTGACTATAACTGTATTTAAAATTTCTTCATAGATTATGCGCTCGTGCAGAATTTTTAATTTTCTTTTAAAATTTTTTTTTATTTTGTGATTTTAACAATTTTCAGAAAAGTTAAATTTTCATTCATTCATTGTTGTACATTTTCCTGTCTCCCCAGAATTTTTTAATTTTCAAAATATAAGATTTAATAAACTTAATTTGATATCCTGGCACTTTCAATCATTGAGTAATTATTTCATAATTCATTTTCATGTTTGAAAAGAATGGTTGTTTCATTAAATTTGAGTTGTAAGTGATACAGTGAACATTCTGTGCTTAAAATTTGAGAATGCACTAACTACAAAAGTGAACTTTTACAGAAAAGTTTGCTTTGTCCAAATAATCTGTCTTAAAGACCACATCGAGTCTACTTACCTTGCATTCATAGAGAACACACACTCCAGACGATGAATAGACAGTATTTCTTTCTCCTTCAAAGTAGGTTCGTCCTTGAAATTGGCATATTGCTTTAAAGTGAAAAAAATGAAAACATTTACTTTTATGAGAAAAAGAATGTACAGGTTCCAGATCATTTTTAATAGTATTTCAAATGGTCACATAGCTTCTCAAGAAACTCAACTCACTTCACTGTAAGGGAGTGGGTGAACTTGGGGGTTCATTAAATTCAGAGAGTTAAATTATGTGTAAAAATTAGATCCTTAAAAAGAATTTCCAATAAACAAACTCTCTGGCCTGCTATGTGATGCTTCTCTTAGGAGTCTATTCCCAAGAGGCATATTAAGCAGGTGCTTAAGGCAGCAATAAATCAAGGTCAACACACAAATATGAGAGAAGTTCATTTTTGATGTAACATTACAGAATTTTAAGACAGGATTTTAGAAAGGTGCTGTTTTAAATTCTACTTACATGAAAGATATATGTTTTATGGCTTATTATTATTTCATACCCAAGCATATATGGTTTATGGGGTCTGTTGGTGCAGTAATTAACTGTTTGACTGTTGTTCACCCTAAGGTTGGCAGTTTGAATCCAATAGTCACTCCTCAGGAAAAAAATTAAAAATGTGCTAGTCTGCTTCTGTAAATATTACAGCCTCGAAAACCTTATGAGTTAATTCTTATCTGTGGTATAGGACGGCTGTGAGCCTAAATCTACACAGTAGCAAAAGGTTTTAATACATGCGTCATAAAATCAACTACTCTGGATTTTGTTTCAATTCATTCCAACCTCACAAACTGTGCCAACCACCACATATAATCCTCTGAGTCTCTAACGACTGATGTAAAACAAAACAAAATATAGACGGGCCTTTCCTTCCACGGTTCCTCTGGGTAGGCTGCAATCTCTAAACTCTCAGTAGTCTAGCAAATTAACTGTTTTCCCACCTAAAAGACCACCTAAGCATTGTTATCATCATACGCCACTGAATTTAACTGACTTCATTCCACTTCTATGGCTGAGGTACTTTTCATGACCCTAAACTTTCATTTTCACATTTTTTTTTATTATATTTTTACGTATACAGAACATTGAAGATGTTCCAGAGCCCCTAATTATACTGTGGCCTATTAGTTAAAAAAACAAAAAAAAAACAACAACAGTGAAAATAATAGTCTCACACAGGAACCTAAACAGACTCATGTCCATTATGAAATTCAGTTTGTAATTTATACTTATACACATTTTACGAAGTGAATATACACATCTCCTTTTATTTCACTGAACAAATTAAAAGAAAGCTTTTTCTCCCTTAGAATTTGTTTTCGCACTAGCTTTGAAATTATCAACTCATCCATTATAATTAGTAACCAAAACCCTGACATGCTTTTGTTAGGTGCCCTTGAGCAGAGTAACCCTATGGATTAAAGATTTGAATCCTGTTCTCTCCTGTTCCATCCTTATACTTTCTGACACACAAAGTAGTCTTCATATCAGTACACCTAGATGAGGGTCTTCCTCTCCTTTGCCAACCCTCCACCCTTCCGAGCATAGAGTCCTTCTCCAAGAAACAGTCCCTCTTAGCAACATGCCCAATATATGTGAGACTCATCCTTCTTGCTTCCAAAAAGCACTCAGGCTACACCCTCTACAAGTCATATCTGTTCATTCTCTTGGGCATCCATGGCATGTTCAGTGCTCTTCTCTAACAACACAGTCAAAGGTGTTAACTCTGTTTTCTCTCATCTTTATTCATTGTCCAACTCTTAGATGCATAGCAAGTAATCAGAAAGATCATGGGCTGAATCAGATGCACTTTAGTCCTTAAACTGACATCATTATTCCTCAATAATTTGGAGAGGTACCTAACTGCAGATTTTCCAAGTGCAATGTGTCTCCTTATTTCCTGATTGCTGGTACTAAAGATGATAATTGTGGATCCAAGTAAGATGAAGCTATTGACAGTTGCAATCTCCTCTCCATTCATCATGACGTTGCCCATTGGTCCAGTGGCAAGAATCTTTGTCTTCTTGACATTGAGATGCAATCTATACTGAAGGCTGACTTCTTTTATCTTTTTGAACAAGTTCTTAAAGTCCTTTTAGCAAGCAAGGTTGTGTCATCTGCATAATAAAAATTATTGATGAGTCTGCCTCCAATCCTGATGTCACACTCTTCATAGAGTCCAACTCCTTGGATAATTTGCTCAGCATTCAAATTAAGTGGGTCTGGAGAGAGAATACAACCCTAACACACTACCTTCTCAATTTTCAAACATGTAGTATTTCCCTGCTTTGTTCACACAACCTGGTCCAGGTATAGGTTCCACAAACCTGACATCCTTTTATATATATATACATATATATATATATATATATATATATATGTGTATATATATATACACTCATATATAATCAGAAAGAAGATGGAAGGAATATACTGAGTCATTGTATCAAAAGGAATTGGCAGATACAGAAGAATGTAATGAAATAACATTTGAGCAAGAGCCTATGGTGATGAAGGAAGAAGTTCAGGTTGCTTTGAAGAAAATAGCAAAAAATAAGGCCCAAGGAAGAGACAGTATGCCAATTG